TGTTGTTTCTTCATGTAATTTTAAATCAAGTATTTCTAAATGACTAGAACATTTTCAGAATCCTTGGATGTAATAGAGCATAGTTTAAAAACTAGGTAGGACTAAACGAGAGAGAGATTTTGTATCTGAAGGCCTGGAATCATCTCTCAGCCGTATTTATTATCTTGGTCAAATTACTTAACCTCTCTGTATTTCAATTTTCTTTCTCTGCTTTTCTTTTCCTTTTTTAATAGGGAAACTATTAACTGAACTAAGTTATTGTGAGGCTCAAATATAAACTTTTCCAAAGTCATTTTTGGGCTCTGAAGTCCAATGTAAATTGAAGTTGTTATAAAATATAAGATGTGCCCAGGTGACAATGGACAACACGTAAAAGATTAGCATGGAAGGGTGACAGGAGGTAGAGGTTTTTAAAATGTCTACGACAAAAGTTAAGCTCTCTTTTAAACAAAACGCCTGTAGCTCACTATAAGAGCTGGTAAAATATATGATCAGAAATACAATCCAGCAAGACAGTGTGCAGCACGTTCCTAGTCACGGCCCTGCGTGCACCCATCCTTCGCCCACTTTCTTACACTGACGTTTCTGACATCTTCACCTTCCTGCACTCTAAATCAAACACATGACCACCTCCATCCCTACGCCCTCTAACACACACACACACACACCACACACACACACACACCACACACACACACCACACACACACACACACACACACACACACACACGAATCTTTCTAGTTTCTTTCTACTTCCACCAGCACAGCCTTAATCCAAACCACTGGCCACTGGCAATCTTAAATCCCTAGACCTGGTGAGTAAAGGAAACTACAAAAGCAAAGTGGCTGAAGTTGCAGCTGGGTCAAAGAAGCTGAGATAAACTGAGGCTAAACACTCCACGAAGGCAGAGACTTGAACCAGGGCATAGGAAGGTCTATAAAAAGGGTTCTGAGGATCCTTTAATTCCCTCTAAAGAGGCCTCATCCTCTCTACTCTCACTATGCCACCATGCTAATCCTGGACTTCATCTTTCTGTGCCTGAAGAATCATAGAATTTCAGGGTTAGAAGGGACTATAGTGTTCTTCTAGGTCAACTAATGACTGAGTCTCCTCTCCAAGTGGCTTTCTGGCTTGAAAACTCTAACTTAGACACTGTAAGCTCTCTTCCTAGTTTACAAGATCACTGCATCCCTACCTTAGCCAATTCCATCTTTGATCTATTCTGTAAAAAAATTCTTTATTGTGAGCTAAAATTGATTCCCCTTAAAATCTGCCACCATCACTCCAAGGTCACAGAAAATAAGCCTAATCCCTTTTTTGTGAGCTACCTACAAATATTCAAAGGTAGCTATTGTGTCTTTCCTGAAAGCTTCTCTTCTCCAGGTCACATGTATTTCCAGGTTCTCCAGGTTCTCCAGGTTCTCTTCACACGACAGGTTCTTCTTACCCCATTGGCCATTCTCTGAGCAAAGTCCAGTCCAACTTGTCCCCCACTATAGTAATTTCCTAACTGACCTCTCTACTTCACTCATTCCACTAGACCACTGATCTTCAAACTTTTAAGTCTCAGGACTCTCTTAAAAATTATTAAGGATCTAGGAGTGCTTTTGTTATGTGGATTACATCCCCTGATATTTACAGTATTAGAAATTAAAACAGAAAAATTAAACCTGGTTTCTTATTAGTATGGCAGTTCCTCAAAAAAATTGAATTACCATATGATTCAGCAATTCCAATTCTGGGTACATACTCAAAAGAAATGAAGACAGGGACTTGAACAGATATTTTTACATTCGTGCTCATAGCAGCATTATTCACAACAGCTAAAACATGAAAGCAACCCAAGTGTCCACAGATGAATGAATGGATAAATAAAACTAGTATATACAACAATGGAATACTATTCAGCTTTTAAAAAGGAAGACAATTCTGACACATCTATAGCACAGATGATACTTGACATTATAAGTGAAATAAGCCAGTCACAGGAAAACAAACATAGCAAGTCCTCAAATAACATCGTTTCGTTCAACATGATTCTTAGATATGTTAATTAGTCTATGGTAAATTGGTTTCATTATGTATCATTTCATTTAAAGTCGCAGAACCTATCCACAGTGTTAAGTGAGGACTTACTGTATAATAAGGTACCTAGAATAGTCAAATTCATAGTCAGAAAGTAGAACAGTGGTTGCCAGGGACTGTGGGGATGAGGAAATGGAGAGTTCTTGTTTAATGGGTACAGACTTTCAGTTTGGGATGATGAAAAATGTTCTAGAGATAGACAGTGGTGATGATTGCACAACAATATAAATGTACTTCACGCCACTGAACTGTACACTTAAAAAATACTTAAAATGAAAAATATGACATATATTTACCACAATAAAATTATTACATATATTTGACCACAATAAAATTATTTAACTAATTTAAAAATAATAATATAAACCCATTAGAATTTATTAACCTAAATATTTTTATTAAAAAGAACTATATTTTCGGAAACAAAAGTTAGGCATTATTTTACATTTTTGCAAATCTGATATTTGGTTTAATAAAAGATAGCTGGATTCTTCAATCTGCTGGGATATTCCATCTGTGACACTAGATTATTTTGATTGATGTAGATGAAAAAAATCAGTGTCACACAGATATATAATTGGAAAAGGGAAGGGTATTGTAATATCCTTTTCTCATAAGGTTGATATTCTCCTTTGATAGTACACCAAAGTTTAACAAGGAGTAGTGTCCTACAGATTAGCTGCAACGCTGAATCTGAATATCAATAAACTTTTCATACTTTATTATTATATGAATATGTATCAATCTGCCTTACACTTTGAACCAATCTTCTACCTATACATGCTTTTGTAACAGTATGCATTGATCATTTCAAATATATTGACTGACTAAGTGATGCAGTGGACATATTTTATTAAACAATATCAAAAAGCAACATTTTTTAATATCACCATCAATAGCATCAGAAAAGTCTTTAAGTAGTGGGAAGCCAACAAGTTCACAGAAGTGGATAGGGTTTTATAGAATCTAATTTTTATTTAAAGCTTGAATTTCATCACTGGCAACACATAATGGTTTTCCTTGAAGTGAGGCTCACTTTGTTTATTTTAGGGAAAATGTCTGCCAAATACCTAAGTCTGAGTAACAATAGTTTGTCAATTGTTCTTTGAAGTAAAAATGTTGTTTTGTTTTTTTAAAAAGCAGTTATGCTTGTAACTCAGTTGATCACTGAATTGCAGGAGTGCTTTTCCTCTAGATAATCATCTTACTTCAACATACAGCAGAAGTGCCTAATGCATACTTTCCATTTTCTTGAACAGAATATTTAAAAATGTGTATGCAAGAAATGAGATTTAATAAAATTAATAACTGTTTACTGTTTCATGAAGGACACTCAAGTAAAACTGACTTTTTTAACTGTAAATACATGATGGTGAAGAATACAACAACTACTAATACGGTTTGGTACAAGTCCCCTGCTCTGTGCTAAGACACCAGCAGTTAAACGCACTGCCACTGTTTCTTACCATCAGCACAAATGTCAGCACAATGAGATTTTCTTTTTTAAAAAAGGTATTATTGTATTATAGATTATATATTGTATTATATAAAATAGTTTTGACCTGAAACCACCAGGGGTCCACAGACCATACCTTAAGAACCACTCCACTAGACTATAGGCTTCTTGAGGACAAGTGTCTTTCATCTCTGTACCCCAGGATCCAGCACAGTACCTATCGCATAGTACTTCGGAAACACGTTTTCAATGAGTGTGTTTGCTCTACACATTCCTTATATCCAGACCTGCAAAATCCCATGGGAAACACAAGACAAATAAGACACTGTTCTTCTTCTCTGGGATTTTTAGTCCAGAAAAGAATAGCCAATTTAAAAAAATAAAAAACTAACTCCACCATAAGAAAGAAAATATGTTACAACAGAGGTACCATCCAGGGAAAGGAGCAATGAAGAAACTAGAAAGAGGGATCACGGGAGAAGAGGCTGAGGAGCAATGGCATGGGAATGTCCCTGTGCACCGACAGTTTGTGGAACAGCAGAAGTTCCGACAGAATGTGGGAAGGAATAAAGTGCAGGATGAAGCTGGAACACTCTCCTTTACCCCCGCCCTGCTCAGATTTTTAGTCCAGAAAAGAATAGCCAATTTAAAAAAATAAAAAAACTAACTCCACCATAAGAAAGAAAATATGTTACAACAGAGGTACCATCCAGGGAAAGGAGCAATGAAGAAACTAGAAAGAGGGATCACAGGAGAAGAGGCTGAGGAGCAACGGCATGGGAATGTTCCTGTGCACCGACAGTTTGTGGAACAGCAGAAGTTCCGACAGAATGTGGGAAGGAATAAAGTGCAGGATGAAGCTGGAACACTCTCCTTTACCCCCGCCCTGCTCACCAGTGCCAGATGAACGCTCCTAAAAACCACCTTCATGTCTTCACCCTCCTCAAAATACCTCAGTGACACCTTCACTGCCTACAGAATAAAGGCAAACTCATTTTGGCATTTACGATCCTCTAAAATCTACTCCTACCTAACCCATATAATCTGTGCTCTCTAGAAGTGCCCTACAACAGAAACCTGCTTAGCCTTCTCACTGTTCTTACATTTGGAATTCGCTCCCATCTTCCCATCTTGGGTACCGTCCAAGTCTTCTCCATCCTCAGCCAGCCATTTCCTTTTAGTATAATCTCTACCCTAGTATAAGCCTATTCATTTGCATTCCTCTTTCAATAATTAAGTGAACACTTCCTGTATGCCAGTTGCTGGATATAAAAAGAAAAACAAGACATAGTCCTCCCTCGCTCTTGATGAAGTCACAATGTATTGAAGGACATAAACAAAATGAAGGAAAAGTGTGATAAAAAAGGACATGTCTACAGCCATGCTACCCTGAACAAGCCCGATCCCATGTGATCTCGGAAGCTAAGCAGGGTCAGGCCTGGTTAGCATTTGGATGGCAGACTATCTAGTAAGACCAGGTGCTGTAGGCGTAAAAAAATAAGGGATTGTAAACTGACAAGGTCCTTGCAATCTGTGAAGTCAACCAAGGGTTGCCTTGCTTAAAAGAAAAAACAAAACAAAAAAGGACATGATGCCCTTTCCCACATCAATCTCCAAGCATTCTTATCATGAACATAATTGTTTTGGACTTTGTCTAATTTCTCCCAAGAGCCCCTCACCACCACATGAGAGGCTCATTAAAACATGTTGAGTTGAGTATTCCCATTTCTTCCTAAAATTTTTGGATCTTTCTAAAACTGTGGACCAGATTTGTTTCTATAATTTTAGTAGTCCCAATGGACATGCCTTTGGCCAGGAATAAGTCTTAACTTCGAAATGGAAATTTTGGCCCCATGCCAGCTGACCGTGCCCTTTCCTCAATCTGGGTTGTGTAACTGGAGCCCTGCTCTGGCTTCTCTCACCTGAAGATGGATCCCTCACTGGTTTCTTTTGCTGATGTCCCCAAGCTGACCCACTTCTCTGCCAGCACTGGCTGTCTTAACCCCCTCACTCCTCATCTTTACTTTTAGCCTCCTTTCATAATACACTTTATGCCTGAAACAGTCTTCAGTTTACATTTAGTAATCTATCTTTTCCCTCTCATTTCAACTTGGCCCTACCTAATTCAAGAATCTTACATGACCTTCTCTAAGCAACTCAGTGCAGGAATAAAACATGGAGAGATACACTTACTTACACAAAGCAAACCCACATTTTAATAGTTATCTTATCCCTCCAGTACATAAATTCTATGAAGACAAGAGGTTTCGTATTTTGAAATCCTGTACACCATAATTAATTTCTTCATTGTCTCACTTTCCAGGATTAAAGGACATGACAGTAGCCAAGGTTGGTATGGGCAAGGATGATACCACTCCCTGATTCACACCAAACACAATCAGAGTCCCTGAATTATTCATTTATATATCAACAGCAGTGGTCCAATCTGGGGTTTCCCCTAGTATATGCCAAACCCTAGAGAGGGCGGGGGAAAAAAAGAACAGAAGATAAGCTCTAATTATGGCACAGGTTTTTCAATAACAATATATGTTCTACCTATCCATGCCTTTCAAACAATATATTTAATTAAAATATTTAATTAAATCCATTTGATTTTCATTTCCCTAAAATAAATAATAAATGATCAGTTTCTTCTCTCTTTTTTTATGCTCTCAAAATTCTGTATATATGGTACATATTTCTGATAATGATGAATACAAAACAAACAATATTTGAGATGTAAGCTCATAGGTTTTTTAGTAAAGGGACACTAGCATTGGGATGCTTTGGAGTTCAAGACTTGTGACAACATCCTATCATTTATATTATGTCTTTTCTCTCCAAAGCCTATCTTCTTTCAGTTTCCTTCCTTTCACAATTCTATTACTTATAATAACAATCTGACCAAAAAGACTTATTAAATACTTAATGGAATGGAAATAACATTTGAGGTTTTACACAACATCCATTTTAAGTACAAATAATGCATGATACAAATAATGATGATCTACTGCTAGATATCAAATTTGGATGTAGGCTATTATTCTAGTGTCTAGAGGATGAGTGAGTGTATTCAATTTTAAGATGCAGGTTGGCTTCATAACAAAGTAACTGAGGAAACTCAGAAATCAAAAACATAACCCCTTCTAGAAACACAAGATTCCATGTTACCACACTAAGATCTTAAATAATCAAACTTCAATATATATAAGGATACATGAAAATACAGTCAATGCTTAGTTATAATACAAAAAGAGAAGCAATAGTGGTGGGAGAAAATCTAAAAATCATTTACGTTGTCTTTGAAAATGCTCTATGTGCCTTTATTTTTCTAATTAACTTTTTTCCTAACTGCTCCAGCACTTTCTGTGTATGCTCAAACAGACAAAATGGAAGCAGTCCAGAAAATGCTGGTGGCAAGAAAATGCCCTCCAGAATAAATTTGTAAAGGCATTTAACAAATAAACATCCAGTTATTTAAAAGTATAGTGTCAAAGCTGATTTGTAAAGTTGCCTTTTAAGAGTTAGTTGATTTCTATTAAATGTTGATGGATATAAACTAAAGCAAAGTTGTTATAACATATTTTTCAAGTCCAAAACTGCATTATCTTAAAGAGTTCTATAATTATATTTTTGAATTTATAATACTATAGGTCTGTTATTTTATCTTAAGAACTAGTAAATATACGTTTTTGAGTTTCCCATGTAATCATCTCATTACTCTGCTTTATCTTTCTCTCTATTCCCTTGCCCTGCTTTTTATTTTATCAATTAACTGTCTGATGTTATAGATATGGATACATAATCCTTTATTTGAAATTCCAAAAACTTGAAAACCAAAGTTTTTTCATAATGCAATTGGGGCAAATATGTCCTGACTTGAACTTATTTTGACAGCAAAATCTGATCTGACCTGAATTGACATGAGACTATTTATAGTCCTTATTTATCACACTTGTGAAAATCCACACATTTTGCTGCATAAATATTAATGTGTATAATTACAAGGTGCTGCAAGACCATGTTAGGGATATTAAATAGCATACTGTATATGCATAAATTACCTTTCTAAAATTGAAAAAATATAAATTCCAAAGCACATCTGGCCCCAGGGTTTGGATAAGGGATTGTGAGCCTGTTTTATTTGTAACATTAGCATCAATCCATGAGGGCAAAATTTTATCTTATTCACTATTGTAACCCCTGGGTCTAAAATTGTGCCTGACACAAACTAAATGCTCTTAAAACTCAACAATAAGAAAACACCCAATTAAAAAAATGGACAAAAGATCTGAACAGAAGACATACAAATGGCAAATAAACATATGAAAAGATGCTTAGTATTCTATGTCATTAAGGAATTGCAAATTAAAACAACAGTGAAATATTACAACATACCTATTAGAATGGCTAAAATCTACAACACTGATAACAGCAAATGCCGGTAAGGATGTGGAACAACAGAAACTTCCATTGATTGCTGGTAAGAAGGCAAAATGGTACAGCCAGATGAGCTGAAAACTTAGGCTGACACAAAAATCTACATAGGAATATTTTCAGCAGTTGCATTCATAAGGGCCAAAACCTGGAAGCAAGCGAGACATCCTTCAATAGGCGAATGCATACACAAACTGTGATACATCCACAGTATAAAATACTATTCGTCAAAAAGAAAAAAATAGAGGAACATAATATATATTGCTAAGGGAAGGAAGCCAGCTAGAAAAGGCTACATACTATATGAGTCCAATTATATGACATTCTTAAAGGCAAAAAAAAAAAAAAATAGAAACAGTAAAAAAAAAAGCAGAAGAGGGAGGAATGAGTAGGTAGGCATGGAATATTTTCAGGGAAGTAAAACTATTCTATGAAGTAGCAGAATAGTGGACATATGACATTATACATTTGTCAAAACCCTTAAAACTGTACAACACAAAGAACCCTAATATAAACTAAGGGCTTTAATAATAATGTATTAATATTGTTTCATCAATTGCAATAAATGTACTACATATGCAAGATGTTAATAATAGCAGAAATTGTATGCAAGGGTAGAGGGAATATATGGGAACTCTGTATCTTCTGCTCAATTTTTCTGTAAAGTCACAACTATTCTAAAAAATAAAGTCCACTAATTAAAAATATAACTTCCCAAAATAAAATCTGAGACACAGGCTTCATTGGAGAATTCTTCCAAACAATTCATTTTAAAAAATCTCATAACGCTCTTGCAGCAAATAGAAAATAAAAAAGGGGGAATATAAAACTTATCAAAGACATTATAAGAAATGACAATTACAGACCAATCTTTCTTGTGGACATAAATGCAATTCTTAAACACCTATTATTGGAGTTCTGCTAACAGAATGTAGAAAGCCAGTATAAGAAATGTCTCTCCCACCCCAACAATGAGAAAAAATAGTATAATCTACAAAATCATAACTTTTGAACTTATCAGAAACTGAAGATGTAAGACAATCAAGTGAACTAAATTCCAAAGAATAACAAGCCCCTTCAAGGACAGCTGGGACTCTAAATTATTTCGCCTTTGGCAGAGCACAGGAGGAAAAGGAGGCTACCATACAAGTAAGAAAAAAGAAATCAGCTAATCAGCTAAAATTTTAACTTATAGATTAGATGTGGGCTAGCATGTTCGTATAGAATGACTGGGAGCTCAAAACACAAGGGGAATTCATACTTCCTTGCATGCTGTTTTCCAAAGTCTTCTACCAGATGCCCACACAAAAGACTAGGGGAAGATCAGAGAACTGTAGAGAGCCCCTTTTTTTTGTGACCCAGGTGTGCAAGAAGGGATAGGTTGCCACTGCAGAACAAGCATAGAACCATGCCATCTTGCCCAAACTCTCCTCTCATGTGAGGAAAAGGCATCAAACCTCTAGGGGAGGGTTCAGAAACTAAACCACTCTGAACACCAGGCAATAACTCATTGCTTCTGGGGTGAGATAAATGCAATAACTACCTACTTCATGGAAAGGTAGGGAAACTTTCTTGGGCTCAGGATCATATACCAGTATAAAGCAGAGGTAAGCCAGAACTAAGGAGGAGCAGGAATCTGTCACAGATACAGTTTGGCTGCCAGTGGGAGAAGAAGAAGGAACTCTGAGAAAGGCCCACTCCCAATGCACATGGACTTAGACAGTACCAAGGAATCAGAAAACACCTGTACCTACCATGAATTTAGGACTGAGAAACAACAGACTACAGGGGAAGGAATAAGAGCAAGGAGAGAGACTTCTCTCTGTGGCACAGGTAAGCAGAGACAGATGCAAGTGGAGGATGTAGTAGAAACTCTGAGAAAACCCCTCTTATATCCCAGGACTCTTTCTAAGCACAATGCTACAGCAGCCCACCATATTTGAAGCCTGTGGTACACTGAAGCTAATAACAGTAATAACAAAATTCAAACTTAGCTTGCCTCCTGACTGTTTTGACTGAAGCCTCCATACTCAGTCAGGATATAAAACACTTCAAAAAAATTGTCAAACTCTTTGACCTAATTGACATTTATAGAAAAGTGACAGCAGAATGCTAATGCTTTTCAAGTACAAATGGAGCATTCAACAAGATAAATAACCTAAATAGCCCTGCGTATATTTTTTAAATTAATTTTTTTTATTTAAAATGTTCCCACAAAGAAAACTCCAGGCTCCAATGACCTTACTTGGAATTCAACCAGACACTTAAGAAGAAATAATATTAATTCCAGACAAGTTCTTCCAGGAAACAGGAGTGAAAGGAACACTTCTCAATTCAATTTATGAAATCAATGTTATCTGATATTAAAACTAGACAAGGATGTTAAAATAAAACCACAAACCAATTTTTATGAAAATACTTGTAAAATCTTCAACAAAATATTAGCAAATTGAATCATAAAATATATAATAAGAATAATACATTTGCATTATAACCAAGTGGAAAGTATCTCAGGAATGCAAAGCTGGTCCAAAATCCAAAACTGATCAGTATTATTCACCATGTTAACACATGAAAAAGAAAAATCACATGAGCATCTCTACAGATACAAAAAAAAGGTATTTGACAAATTCAGCATGCATTCATTCATAATAAAACTCTCAGAAACCTAGGAATAGAAGAGAGCATCTTCAATCTAGTAAATGGCATCTATACAACATTGCACTGGAGGCACTAGCCAGTATAACAAGGCAAGAAAAAGAAATAAAAGGAATAAAAGGCATATAGATTGGAAAGAAAAAAGTAAAACTATATTTATTCATATATGAAACAAGTACCTAGAAAACCCTAAGCAATCTACAAAAAAAGGTTCTATAACTAATAAATAAGTTTGGTAAGGTCACAGGATGCATGGCAGATAAATATCAATTGTATTTCTGTATACTAACAAGAAACTATTGGAAACTGAAATGAGCAAAAAGTCAACATTTATAATAGTACCAAAAACATGAAATACTTCGGGGAAATCTTAAAATATGTGCAAGATTTGTATAATGAACTGTAAAACACTGACAATAGAAAATGAAGAAAATATAAATAAATGGAGAGATAAAGTGTATTCATGGGCCAGAAAATTCAATATTGTTAAAAGGTCAATTCTTCTCAAATTAATCTATAGTTTCAATAGAATCCTAATCCAAATTCCAGCAAGCTTTTTTGTAGTAATTTACAAAATGATTCTAAAAATGTATATGGCAAAGCAAAGGACCTAGAATAGCCAAAACAATTTTGAAAAAGAGGAACAAATTTGGAAGACTAATTACCTGATTTCAAGACTTACTATAAAGACACAGTCATTACCATAGTGATAGACAAATAGATCAATGGAACAGAACAGAGCCAGACAGTTAGTGTGTGTACTAAATCAATTTTCAACAAAGATGTCAAGGAAATTAACAAATGGGCATTAGAAATAGATATGGTATTAGACAACCACATGCAAAAAAAAAATAGTTTACATTGCATCATATACAAAAATCAACTCAAAATGGATCACAGATCTAAATGTAAAAGCTAAAACTATAAAACTTCTAGAACAAAACAAAGATTCTTAGGTAGGGCACAAAAAGCACAAATTGTAAAAGAAGAAATTGATAAAAAAAATGTACGTAATCAAAATTAAAATATTTTGCTATTTGAAAGACCCAGTTAAGAAAATGAAAAAATAATCCACAGACTTGGGGAAATATGTGCAAGGTGCATATCTGATAAAGGACTTGTGTCATATATAAAGAATCCTTAGAATTCAACAATAAGAGAACAAACACAATTTTTAATGGGCAAAAGATGTGAACAGAATACTTCACCAAGGAAGATATAAACCTAATAAGATGCTCAATATCATTAGTCATTAGGGAAATGCAATTTAAGTCACAATGGGATATCATTACACTCCTACAAGAGGAATGTAATTAATAAATAAAATTAATTAATAAAAAGCTGACATCAAGTAATAGCAAGCAGGCAGAGCAACTGAAACTCTCATAACTGCTGGTGGAAATGCAAAATGCTACAGCCACTTGGGAAAAGTTTGGTAGATTCTTATGAAATTACACATACACTTACTACACAATCCAGTAATTCTACTCATAGATATTTATCCCAAACAGGGGAAAAATAAATATTCAAACAAAAATCTGTACCAGAATGTATATATTAGCTTTACTCACAATTTCTATAACCAGAAACAACCCATAACTGTATAACCGAAAATGCCCAGCAAACCAATGAATGAATAAACCAATTATAGTACATCAAAACAATGAAATATTACTCAGCAATAAAAAGGAACAAAACTGAGATAGGAACTAGACTTACTAAGGTGATCACTTCGTAAGGTATACAAATATCTAATCACTATGTTGTACACCTGGAACTAATATAATACTGTTTGTGAACTGTCATTGAAAATATTTTTTAAAGGAACAGAACTGAAATACCAACAACATGGATAAATCTCAAAAGATTTATCTAAATGACATAAACCAGGCACGAAAATTTATATACTGTATGGTTCCATTTATGACATTCACACACACAAAGGCAAAGATCTGCTCAATCTCTGCATCCAAAGAACCTCGTATATTAGAAAATACTCAGTAAATGTGGGGTGGACGGACAGAGGGGGAATTATTGCCGGTAGGATAGAGTGAAAGGTTACAGACTGAAGCTAAAGCAAAAAAGCACCTGGGGGGCTCAAACCCACCTACAGAACAGAAAAGGTGAAGGAAGGCGTGGTCCAACCTACCTCCGCTGATTCCAGCAGTTTAAAAAAAATTAGACCCGGCAACGGTCTACAGTACAAATGAATAATCTCAGCGTTTCTCTGGCCTGAAGAAAGGCTTGATGCGCCCCACCCTTCTTTAAAAACCTATTACCCCACTCGCGAGGCTGAGCAAGTGGACCTTACACATGGAAGAGAGGATCTTCCGTGCACAAGAGCGGGCTGGAGTGACCAGAAGCGGGCCTCGGCTTAGGTTAGCGGGGTTCAGAAGACCAGGCACCGCCGCAGCCCCGCCCGTCTCCATCCCTTCCCACTCGGCCTCACTTACCCAGGCCTGCCGTTCCAACTGAGCGTACAGATTGGAGCCCTTGAGCTTTTGGACTATTTGAGCAATAATGAGAGATAGATCCGACTGCTCTTGCAACATTTCCCCTGCCCTAGGCCGCCAGACAGCGGAGACAGGCAGCCGGCGCGAAGCGAGCGGGCTACAGGGTCCCACTTGGGGCTAGTGACACTTCTCTGGGACCTTATTATGCTGGGACTCCTCCGGGCGTTACCAAGCAACTGCGGGCCTTGTGTCCGCTCCTCTCTGGTCCCCCCGGCGCCTGAAGGTCTCAGTACCTGCGTTCCGTTTTCGGAAAACGACCTGCTGGGAGGTAGCTTTTCATTGCATTGTTTAGTTTGTGGTTGAAAGGCAAGAGGCGCTCTTTCTTCCAGAGACACAGCGCTTCCGATGTACGAGGGGAACTCAGAAAGTCATTCATTTTTGTATTTTATTATAAAGGATCATTCCTCTTTTATCTTTCAATCTCTGCAGAAACAGGGCTGTGCACACAAAGACATGGCAAATTGCAAGAATTATCAGGGTCTGACACTAGCCGCGTGAATTTAGGCGAGGTACTTAAATTTCAGAATTCAGTTTTTGCCTCTAAAATAATACTCAGTTCACAAGATGTTGTGATGATTAGCTTAGGTAACAATTTTGAGAGTTCCTAGCAGTAAACTTAGCACACCATTTTATTTCCATTTCTCCTGCTCCCATTCTCTGTGGTCTTATGCCAAAAATAAACATACTGGGTCCTCTTGTGGAACAACTTAACCAGGAATCATTTATTGACAGGTTTTCTGGGAAGCACTGGCAATTCAAGGATGAGTAAGACATTGTCCCAGTCTTCAAGGAATGTACCATCAAGATTCCTCTTCTCCCATGTATTCGTTCATTCAATCACTTATTCAAACTCATTCAGCTTTTATCTTGTTGAGCATTTACATACAAGAAACTGTGTGGGTGCAAAGGTAAATAAAACATGGTTCTTGCCTTCAAGGAAACATACCAAAGATCCTGAGGAGAACTAGAAATAACCTATTTAACCAACTGAATGACATTTCCAAAGGCAGCCAGGAAAAGGTGTATGGAATAATACACACATTAGAATATCTTGCCCAAATAATCAAGAATTTGTTTCGAATGTGAATATGTATATACTCTAAGCAAAGCAAAGGTAGGACTCCAAGAGAACAGACCAAGATCGCTGCAAAAACTCTAGCCTAACTACATTAAACTTTAATGTGCTTAGAAATCAGAAGATTCCTCCTGTGGGGCCTGCTAAACTGCATTTCTGAAAACTCCCAGGGGATTGCAACACTGTTGATCCAAGGACTACATTCTGAATAGCAAAGGACTAGAGGAGGTAAAAAATAGAAACTCAAAGGTACTGGACCTCTGGCATCTATGCATGACACCCCACTATTCATAACACCACTGTTCAGAATATTGTGATGGGTAATACAGATTTCAAATAATGTATTTGGTCAGGTTTGTTTGTTAAAACAACTTTGGAAAGAAGCAAGCAGGGAGAAAAAGTAAAGGCAATTAATAACATTCTACAAAACATAGTTTCTCTACAAAACATGTAGTTTCTCTACAGAACATTCTCCCACAACTCGGAATTTCTCAGATTTACCAATGAGTTAATCTCCACTCTTTATCAGCTCTCCATTCCAACACCCCACCCATTCATGAATCTCCCAGCACAAACCTCATTTTCAACAATAACAACAACAACGAAAACTATGAAGACAGTTCTTTTGAGATTGAAAGGAGTAAAGTGATTAATAACTAAAGAGATAAGGATACTTATGCTGAGAAGGTTAAAAACCATAGAGGGGAAAGAAGATAAAACTGTGGAGCAGAAGGAAAGGTGTGGTGCCTGGGACAGAAAACAGCCTACCTCCCTTCCTGCTGCGCACTCTTGGGACTGCATGAGTCCCTGCTCCAATCAGAGTTTCAGCTTTCGAATCTGTAACAAGAGGGCAAAATGCTCACCTGAGGGGATATTATGAGGAACAAATGTACCTAGCATAAAATATCAATAAATAATATGAATAAATTAAATATTAAAATCGAGATAAGGAAATAAAAATAATGCCCTGTACTATTAAAAGGGGTATGAATGGAAAGTAACTAAATGTAGCAACATATATAAAAGTGCTTGGACAATTCTTCCCACTGATAGAGGCTTTTAAATTAGAGTTTATTTAAGGAGAGAGCAATTTTCAGTCTTAAAGCAACAGCTAAGAAGTGTAGATTTGATTCTGAAGGCATGCCCGAGCAAAAAAAGAAATCTTAATTCTAACATTAAAAAAATTGTTTCTTACATAGATAGAAACAGGTGCATTGAAGTATAATTCAATTCCAGGATGCCCTCTGTTCTCTTTTTCCAATTCGATTTAGCAAAACTTTTCAGAACTGCTCTGTGCTAGGAATGGCAAGGAATACAAAGGTGAGTAAGTAATAGTGCCTTATCTCAAGGAATTCTTAGTCCCAACTGGATGGCGAGGCCAGTGCACAAAGAGCTGTCGTGGTAGACAGGCCCCTTGAGTCTCCCACCCGCATATCTGGAAATCATATTATTGAAGTTATTGTTGCATAAGAAACAGAGGGTGTAGAGTCCCATCTCCATCCCACACGGGGGAACTTTGCCTTGGAAATTCTTATTCTACCCAGAGTGAGGGGAGATTGGGAAAACATTCTATTTCTGACATTTTAGAGTGAACCATGACCCAGTCTAACAGATGAATAGCAAAAGGAATCCAGTCTTATCTGACTGGTTAAAACTATATAAACAGAGACAAAAGTGAAATAGAGACAGAGGGAAGTCTCAAAATTCCCTCAAATTCAGAGCAGAGGCACTTCTGGGCTCACATGTATAAGGCTCTGCGCCCAACACTGCCTTTCTCAAACCTACTATGCTTTAATCTATTTACAAATTCCATTGTAGGTGAGGGGTGGAGGGACACATTTGAAAACTATGACCAGTGGCCTCACACAAGCAAGGATGTAGACAACATCAAAATCACCTGGGCAGCTTAACACAAAAATGAGGCACACGTCAGGGTATCTTGGAACATGTCCTTACTGTATTCACACTAGTAGGGCGTGCATAAACTCTACAGTCTACAATAAAAAGTATTTTCAGCTGTTGTTTTAGAAAGAGACACTTCCTTTAGCAGGTCATGTCTGCAGAACAAATTGAGCTGTGCACCATCAGGAATTGACAATAAATAAAAATAATGTGTGTTTTATCACGAATGTCACAGATGTCACTGTCTTTGGGAACAAATGAGCTCATAGATATCAATTACCTGTCGCTGGATAGTTAGCTCCCACATGCTGGAATAAGACCTTGGGCTCTTCAAAGTCTCTTCCTGTTACCTCTGGGACTCTTCAGAAAGCGGCACTTGCGTGCCTGGGGAAAAGTCTGCTTGTGATCTGCTTTGCCTGCTTTAGTGATGTCTGATGTCCCAAAACCGCTGTCTAAACTGCTGCTTCTTGGTGCTCCCAAAACTGCAAAACCCCAGAGGTGCTTAAATCTCAAGGCTCACGAAAGCTCTCTTGAAAAAAAGCCCCTTCTGATTCTGCAAGCCATCTCTCTTTGCAAAGGTGGTCATATCTCGTTTCTGAGTCCAGACTGAGTGTCAGACCATGTTCTCCTCCACTTCCCCATCGTTCACGCCTCTGGCCCTAGGCGATGATGTGTGAATGGAGAGGACTGGGCTACCGGTTCCGTGAGCGATCTCAGGGACTGTGTTGACTCCATGTAGAATATAAAACTCACAGGAGAAAATCCAAGCAACAATGATTTAAATCATAGGATATTTATTATTACCAACAAGTCTGAAGCAGTGTCCCTAGGTTGGCTCAATAACTCAACAAAGACGCTCTCTCTCTCTCTCTCTTTTTTTCTCTCTCTCCTATTCTGCCACCTTTCGAATATTGGCTTTCACTCTCCAGTTTATTGCTTCAAAAGACAGACATGAATTGGGCAAAATAAAAGAGTTTTTGATGATTGTGTATGTCTCTCTTTTTTGAGGAAAGACTGTTTTTCCAAGACTTCCCCATACATCTTATTGCCTGAAGATGTGTCACATGACTACCTCTAGCTACAAGAGAGCTATCCTCAATCTCGGGAGAAAGATGGAGAAGAGTGGTTTGTGGATTCTACTATTTTGTCCAGAATACTTCAGTGTAAGAGCGTTACTATGATATGATGTGAATGCACATTCCTGACTGACATTTGGGCTAATCAGACCACAAATAAATTAACGTACTTAGAGTTAGGCTATATCCAGATCACTTACCATTCACATAGAGTGGATTGTGTGCAGTTCAGGACCTAGAATCTAAATTATAGTACTTATCGATACGGCACTTTCTCAGTAACATGGTGACCTTTTAAAAGACAAAAACAGATAAGATGGGCCCATTTGAAAGTAAGGTCTATGAGTAAAAGATTACATGACACTTGCAAATGTTATTACTAAAAAAAGGAAAAATTAGTGACTTGTGAAGAAAGCAGTTTGTTCACAAATGACTTTTGATGAAGGCCTCTCTATATCAAGAGGCCACTCTACTGTAATTTTAGGTTATTCCTTCTGGTTGAATAAACAGAAATAAAATTGGAAATAATCTATTCTCTAATATAATCTGTACTTCCTAGGGCAAAAGAAGTTCGCTGCTGCCAAATGATGTCCTAATTTCTCCAGGAATTTCCTCTAAGTTTCAGGTACTACAGCAGAGCAGGATCCACTCAGCTCATTTCCTCCTCAGTCCTCTGACTACAACTCTGCGTTCTCACCTCCTCCTCCAAACCGGACCCAACACTTCCACTCCAAGATGTCTCCTTTTGTATTGTTCTTTTTTATTTTACATGGCCTTTCTTCCATTGCCTGTTGGAAAACTTACATAATGTCTGCCCTCTTTGTTTTGTTCCAACTTTTCTGAAGGTACAGGGACACATGCAACGTAGGCATATAGATGAGAATAAAACAGTTCCAATATTAAGGACTTGAGATCAAATTAAAGTTTGCAGTAGGGCTTGCACCTATCCATTATGGAAGGTAAAATTTGTCCTTATGGTTGCAGACAGGGA